AAATTTAACAATATTCTTATCCTTATCCTAGGAGTTGGTTTGGTTACTATTACGTATTGCAAATATTTATTCCACAGTATTCCATTCGCCTGGGACTGATTATGAGGTAGTTTTCGATTATCCTCAGATGTAATCTTTTTAGGCTTCATTTTCCTCCCTTCTGTGCTTCCTGTTTTCCTCAGGAAATCATCTACATCCAAGGTTATAAGAATAGCACTCCCGTTATTTCAGCAGAGGAACTTTTTATATCCATCTCTCTCTTTTTCTCTCTCTGTCTCTGCCTCTCTCTGTCTCTGTCTCTCTGTCTCTCTGTCTCTGTCTCTCTCTCTCTCTCTCTCTCTCTCTCTCTCTCTCNAATTAAAATAATATTTAAAAATTGAATATAAAATTCTTCATTATATAGAACTAAATATACATAATTATATAACAATAAATAAATTATATTGTATATGTTTATACGCTATATATATATTATGTCAAATTCCTGGAGCAGCTGAAAACTGTAAAACTGAATATGTCGGCACATTTTATTTTGATGCCTTTTCATGGTAGGTAGTGCTTCCATTAATCAGCAAAATGTGTCATCTCTAGCTACGTCACAGGATTTGGCTCATTATCTTCTTGTTTTCTGCTGCAGCGCAGAACTTTGTGACTCTCATAAGACAGTAGAACACAGTGATTGGTGACTGGTCGTCTGATAGGGTATTCTTATACAAGAATCCAATCGCGCTTCTCAATTCTCTACTCCAAGTGTACGGCTTGATATTGATCTTTGCTTCTTAAAGTCGGGTACTTTGCCCCAGAAGGACACACAATTTAAGTTTTGCTTACTTTGTATTAGAGCATCACTTTTCTTGGCATCAGATACCCTGGTCCAATTTTCTCATATTAAATGTTGCAGTGCCCTCTGTAAGACTCATATCCAAAGTGATGAAGGGTCTGGTTTTGATGGCATGCCCCTAAGGTGACTCGGCAAATTAATCATCCTGGTACACATTGCTACACCTCTTTCTTTGCCAAAAATTACTGCTGGCCCTCTGGTGGATTCCCTTGCCTAGTTACTTTGGAACCATTAGCACTGATTTGGTCTTGGTGTTCTTGGCACTATTCCCACCGTTCTTATACAGATAAAAAAATAACAAATACAAAAACGTGTGTGCACAATATGCTTTTAACTTATTTATATGCTAATAAATAAGCAGCTATACATTTGTGTATATATGTAAACTACTACATAAATTCTTTCTAAAATTATTTTAAAATTTAGTCATGATTTATATATTTTCTTTTCTTTTGTATACATTTGTCACTTTCTAATATACTTAATTGAACTCTTGTGTATTTATGGCAGAATGTTCCCCTAGGAAGGATAATCAGGGATGTTTTGGCAGCCCGTGAACCCCTCCAGAGCCTAATGATTGGAAACTTCATAAAATTTCTGATCGATTTGCATAAGACTGTTGTTAGGTTAAAATATAACTCTTATTTATTTATTTTTCTGTTTTTTTTCGAGATAGGGTTTCTCTGTGTAACAACCCTGGCTGTCTTAGAACTAGCTCTTGTAGACCAGGCTGGCCTCAACTCACAGAGATCTGCCTGCCTCCCAAGTGCTGGGATTAAAGGGGTGTGCCACCACCACCTGGCCCATAACTCTTATTCTTATTTTATATTTATTTAAAAAAAACCTGTCTTCTCTCATTTTACCTATCAGATCCAGTTCCCAACCCCTCCCTCCCCCCACTCCCTCACCTTACCTTCCCCTTCCATCCCCATCCACTCTTCAGAGAGGCTAAGGCTTCCCATGGGGAGTCACAGTCTAGCACATTGCTTTGAGGCAGGACCAAGGCCCTCCCCACTATATCTAGGCAGAGCAAGGTATCCCTCCAGGGAGAATGGGTTCCAAAAACCCAGTAAAAGCAGTAGGGATAAATCCTGATCTCATTGCCAGGGTCTCCACAGTCTGCTCCAGCCATACGGCTGTCACCCACATTCTGAGGGCCTAGTTTGGTCCTATGCTGGTTCCCTTGCTGCCAGGCCAGAGTTGGTGGGCTCCCATTAGCTCAGGTAAGCTGTTTCAGTGGGTGTCTCCATCGTGGTCTTGACATCTTTGCTCTTATTCCTTCCACTCTTTGACTGGACTTTGGAAGTTCAGCCCAGTGCTCCCCTGTAGATCTCTGCATCTGCTTCCATCAGTTGCTGGATGAAGGTTCTATGATGACAATTAAGGTAGTCATCAATCTGACTACATGGCAAGGCCAGTTCAGGCACCCTCTCCACTATTGCTTAGGGTCTTAAGTAGGATCATCCTTGTGGATTCCTTGGAATGTCTCTAGTGCCAGGTTTCTTGCTAGCCCCATAATGGCTCTTTCAATCAAGATATCTCTTTTCTTGTTCCTGTTTCTGTCTCTCCCCCATCTCGACCATCCCATTCCCTCAAGTTGTCCTCCCGCCTCCGTTTCTCCCCTCCTCTTCTGCCTTCCCTTCTCCCCCACATTCCATTTTCTCAGGAGATCTTGTCTATTTTCCCTTTCCAGGGGATCTATGTATGTTTCTCCTAGGCTTCTCCTTGTTACTTAGCTTCTCTGGGGTCATGGACTATAGGCTCCTTGAGATTATTTAAATAGAGAGGAGGATGTACTGGGGCCAGGTGACAGGTGTTAGTAACCCCTTTCTTCTTTCAGAGCTCTCATCTGGGTGTGGATTGAGATTATTGCATCGTCGACAGAAACGGATCATTGGTGGGAACAATTCTTTAAGGTAGTAAAAGACTCTTCAAGCAGATTTTGATAGTACAGGATTATTAATATGTGTGTATGCTACAAGTGTTCCAGACCCAGGGTTTCCTTTTATTATGCATGGGGCTTGTTTTTATCATTTTATAAATAAGTAAAGAGTTATAAATTACTTATAAATTAAGTAAAAACTACCAGTAAACCGATAGTTTTCCTGCCTTTAAAAAAAAGATTTACTTAATTTTGTGTGTATTGGTGTTTTGCCTGAATGTGTATCCTTGCAGGGGTGCCAGATCCCCTAGAACTGGAGTTATAGACAGTTGTGAGCTGCCATGTGGGTACTAGGAACTGAACCTGGGTCTCCTGGAAGAGTGGCCAGGGCTCTTCACCACTGAGTTATCTTCAGCCCAGTTTTCCTGCCCTTTGATGAGCATGGTATATATATATATATATTACTGTTTGTGACTCATGGTATATGTTTTGGACACAAAATGTGGCAGAAAAAGGTATGTAACTCTGAAGAGCCATTTAATGGAGAAGAATTTTTTTTTATAAAGACAGATATAAATAATAGCATTACTTAATGCTCATTTTCATTGTAAAGTGTCATATTTATGAGACAAAATCTTACAAAAATCTACACATCATAGTATAGCATTTGAATATTAAAAAGATCACATGAGTTTTCATATAAAGTGAGATCTTTGATATACAATTTTCAATTTTTATCTTATGCTTCATTTCAGAGAGAGAGAGAGAGAGAGAGAGAGAGAGAGAGAGAGAGAGAGAGAGAGAGAGAGAGAGAGAGAGAGAGAAACAGACTGACAGAGAGACAGAGAGAGATGGGAGGTAGGCAGGGCCCTTTTAATGGGAACATAGTGAATGTGCACAGGAGGCACTCTTAGTGGCTACAGCTGAGGACGTAGCCTACCAGAACCCTGAAGGCAGATGCCTGAATATTAACAGTGAGTACTCTGGAGACCTCTACAATACCTAATAAAATGAATCAAATAAGATCTTGAAGTTGCCTGCATAAGACTTTACTATCACTGGGGTATTACACCCATCTAGTGAATGTTTTTCTCTTAATATATTCTTGTTGCAATTCTCAAGATAGTTATGGAATCATGAATAAAGGAATAGGTATAATATCAATAAAGAACTGAAGATAGAAGATATAAATGTTAAAGGCCAAGGATAAAAGATAAAGGGGGCTGAAAAGCAATATCTAATGGTCTTCATTCAGTGGGCGATGCCATCTTCATTGAACTTAGGACACAATTTTTCAAACTGTAGAAGTTCCTTATGAGTAAACTTGTGGGATGCCATTTTTGTCAATTGACTGAATGACAGGAATTGAACATAACAACAGCTTAAGCAAATTTAGACATACACCTCATTCGGCTCTCAAAGAAGAGATCAGAGGCAGCCAGTAGAGTCTCGTCCAGTGGATCCGCCCTCATCAGGACCCTTGGCTCTTTCCTTCTTCCATTTCTGCTCCCTTCATAGGGCATTTTGCTGGGCACGGTGCTCATGTTTTCTATACAGCGCTCCAGAGGCTGAGGCAGAATGATTGTTTACTGTGAGTTTAAGGCTAGTCAAGGCCACATAGACAGTTTCAGAGAAGTCTGTGTATGACAGGGCTCTGGTTTTAGACCCTGTCTCCAAAATAGTGTGTGCACGGAGGTGGCACAAGCTGGGCCAATGTAGCTTCTTTAGTTCCAGCCATTACCTTCGCTTTATGTGCAGTGGGAAGGAGATGGAATGAAGACAATGGAGTTTGAATACTCCACTATTCTTTCTGAATAGTGCTGCTAAAAACTTAATAATGGCAACTTTTTATTTTGAGATCACGAATAACTTCTGCAGACAGTTGGCATTGATAATTGTACCTCAACGTGAACAGCTTGATGTGCTTAAACATTGTTAAAATGGTGTTTATGTCAGGATATAAACAGCTCGCTAGTAGGATAGGATGCTTGGAAATGTGGTGTTTATTTTGGGTACTCATTACTGTACCTTTTAAAACACTGAGATTATGTTATTAATGAAGAAGGGAGGGCAAAGGTTGAGAAATACCAAGGAGTTTTTAAACATATGCAGTGGTGGCCACTGGAAGCAAGACAAATCCCAGGAACTCACAAATGATGGAAGGAGTGGGTTTCGGGCGTGGGGTTAATCACTGTGTGGTTGACGGGAGCGAGGAAATGAGACAGGAGCTTCTTTCACGGTGGAAGCCAGAATTCATCTTGTTTTATGTCTGCTCAGTGGCATCGCCAAAGCGTGGCACCATGCACACTTTGGGGAAGGATCTGGCCCGATACTGTTGGATGAAGTACGCTGCACCGGAAACGAGCTGTCGGTTGAGCAGTGTCCAAAGAGCTCCTGGGGAGAGCATGACTGTGGCCATAAGGAAGATGCTGGAGTGTCTTGTGTCCCTCTCACAGGTAAAGTGCCACTTCCTAGATGTGCCGTCTTCTGCCCTCGTGACTGGTACTGCCACAGCTTCTTTTCTTAATTCCGATTTTGTCGAAGGAGCAGAAAGATAAAGCTAAATATTAAGCAAAACTCAATATAAAACCAAACACAATTTTTATTTCAAAATACAATGTCTTCCCTCACAGTTATTTCTAAAAGTTTCTATTTAAAGTCCAACAAAGCTAGATCAGAAACTATCAGGGTTTTTTTTTTTTTTTTTTTTTCTTTCAATATGCTGTACCCAACAGTTAAAATCAATGTGCAGTGACACATACCGAACATTAGGTGTCAGTATATTACATCTTAAATTCATTCAGCGGATGACCAATCTTTCCCAGAATTGCTGATTCTGATTGCTGTAAAGCTGTGTTTATGTGATTGCTGATGGAAGGAAACTGATAAAGAGGCCATGCTAGCTTTGGAATCAGATTTTAGACTAATGCGCATTGCATCATGTCTGTCTTATAGGTCATATGTCATAAGGAGGGATGTTTTAAATTATTTTTACTTGTGTGTATTTATGTGTGTATGTGAAAAGTAAAAGAATTAGTATCTATGGAACTCTGATTTCTATCTTTTTATTCATGCTGCTGTTTTTTATTAGCAACACGATGCTTTTGTACAGAATATAAATTTCTAATTTACACAGAGGTAAAGACAGAATTTCATTTCCTTGAGCTGCCCACTTTCAAATGAGGTAATCTCATTAGCGCTACGATGGGCAGACGATAGTGTTTTGAAGACAATAAATCTCAAACACCAGATGGTGGTGTGTCGAGAGACTTTTGTTCACTTCAGTGGGCGCCAGAGATCTATGAGAGGTACCTTCTACTCTCCGGTTACCTGTGTTCCTTTGAGAGGTGTTTGGATTACTGTGGATGGAAATGACTTCTAAATATATCCTTTTTGGTAATGAAATTTATTGTGCTATCTGTGCACAAACTTTTTTTTTTAAAGAATTCTGTGTGTAATTAGTCACTGAGATAATAAGATTCAAGTTTCATATCTGTACTCTCAGTAAAAGAACACAGATAAGATGTGTTTTTCTCATCCGTGGGTGTCTGAGGAATAATGACCTCTTCAGCAAGCTAGATTGCTCTTTACCTGATGTAGCTTTGCCCGTGTCCTTAGTTCAGTGTTTTGATGTGCAGTTAAGAATTTGAAATACTCTCTCTAAGTCACTATATACATAAATATACATATATACATATATATATTGCTATTTCAATGAAAATGACCACTGTCCTTTAGATTTAGACTGGAATTATGGGAAATTTCCCTAATGGGATTTAATATAGAAAAGTTAAAAAATATGTGTTTTGAAATTACATCAGAATGTATTTTCTGCTTGGAGAATAGAGCACAACAATGAGGAAGAGAGATGCATTAATGTTCAGAAAGAGGGCAATGACCTCACATGACTGAGAAGAGTCATAATGTTAATTATCAAATGGCTCAGAGGGAGGCCTAACGCCAAAGGTACCAAAGCCTTCTTTTTCTTTTTTTTCTTTAACGCTAATTCGCTTTTTGTCTTTATCTTCTTATCACAGAGGGGGTCATCAGACTTGCCGGAGGGAGGAGTGGCCATGAAGGTCGCCTGGAGGTATACTATCGGGGAAAGTGGGGGACAGTCTGTGATGACGGCTGGACTGAGATGAACACATACGTGGCTTGCCGACTGCTGGGATTTAAGTAAGGCTCACTGGTGTGGGGGCATTGAACTCGAAAACACATCTTTAAAGTCAGAATTGCTGCATGATCCTTACCTGTAATTCTAAAAATAGATATGCATAACCTATCAGTTACCTATCTATGTATCATCTATTTGTGTATCCACCTGTCGTCATCAACATCTATAGTTTATCTTCATCTGTCATATCAGTAATGCCTACCTACCTACCGCCTTTCTATTTAATCTGCCTATTACTTCACCAGTTTACCTACAAACAGAAGTACAATGAAAATGACATCTTTAAAGATAATAAGTAGCCATTTCTTTCATATACTTTTCATGTACTACTTCATGTACCTATCAACATCTCTTTTCTTGAGCAAATTGTTTGACGCTAAGAGTGACTTCTGGTGCACTCTTTGTCTATTCAGGCAAGCTGCTGAATGCTTGCTTTTACGATGATGCTTTGCTATGACTGGATGCTACTAGTTTTGACATCATTGTGTCTAAAATTTCAGCAATCCCAGTGGGGAATGCTGTGGTGTCACGTGCTTCTTTCTTGGACCGTGATGATAATCGACACTTCTGTTGGAAAAGAACAGCCCTCTTGTCACGAGATGACCTTTAGAACTAGCCTTTGACCTTGCCCACTTACAATCTGAGTGCCAGACTTTGGGGCAGTATGTGTCATGTTGCATACACAATGCATTCCAGAATAAAGACTTAAATTGATTGAAGTAACAAAACGATGCCCTGGAGGTAAATATTCAAATGAAGTCCATGGATGCCCCTTCTTTCTTATCTTTCATATTTCTCTACCATGATTTTAAAAACTGGTGAATTACTTAACATCAGTTTGAAATACAGTTAATTACAAATATTCACTAAGCCTGAAAATATGTATCTCATTCAAGCTGGGTAAAGCTATGCTTAAGGGTGTATTTTTAAAAGAAAGTAAATGAAATACTGTCCACAATTTCCCTTTCTTACACATCGCTTGGAATGTTCATGTGATTTTATATCAGCTGCTTTATAAACCTGATCTTATAGCCACATTTCTTTACTTTTTCAATGGCACAGTGTCACAAGTTCAATGGATTTTGAGATCCATTAAATAGTCACGCCATGATCTACTGAATGTTTAGGTTATTTTTCTAGGGTAAAATGGACTATTAGTTACATAAGAAATAATGCTATAATGAAAATGCAAACGTTGCAAATTCACCAACATTCATGTGTTCATGTGAGCGTGTGCCACATTTAGGTTACAGAGGAAGTTCTGAAAGCGATGATTCACTGGGGTTGAGAAAGAGTAAACTCGGACTCTTTGTACAAATGCAGTCTCAAAGCTAACAAAACTTCCTGTTATATGTTTTGTGGTTGAATTACACAGAGGGACAAGGCATTTGCTGGACGCACGCTTTAAGCCCAAAGTGACAGCAATATACAATTTAAGTTCATTGCTTTTTTTATTTTTGCTAAAATTTGATTAGTTAGAAAAGTAGTCTTTAAATGACTACTTAAAAACTGTGTTGTGCCAATGGGTGGTGATACACATCTTTAATCCCAGGACTAGAGGCAGGCAGAACTCTGTGAGTTCAAGGCCATCCTGGTCTGTGGAGTGAGTTCCAGGACAGCCAGTGCTACACAGAAAAATCCTGTCTTGAAAACAAAAACCCAAATCTAAACCAAAATAAGACCATGTTGCTTTAACTTACTAAATAATTCATCTTCATCTAGTTAAAGAGATCTAGTATTTGCACAGCAGAACTATTAGTAAAATTCATGTCAAATAGAGAGACGTCTTCATATCCTTAATGAAGAAATAATAAAAGTATTGAGTGAGGGTAATGATGGGTATACAATTTCTGACTGAGAGTTGAATTTTACAGACTCTAAGAATTGAAGGCACTTGGAAGATCTTTAAACTCAGTGATAATTTGAACGATTTTTAAGGGATGAATGAAAAACTGGAAGAAGGGTGAAAGTGAATACAGTTACTTAGTTGCCAGTTTTTAAATTTACAGATATTTGCTATTTCACAGCCTATTATTTATTGCAATACATACTGTAATGTAACAAAGTCAATTGGCAAGCAGTGTCACTTATAAAAATTATGTATTAAACTTATATGACCTTTCAAAAAACCACTGTCATTGTTTTTACTTTGATGGGCTAATATCAAAATTATAATTTCTGGATTGGGTCCTGTTTCTGAGCAGTCACTGAGTTCTGGGACATTTTCTATCTTGGAGAAGGACTCCAGAATGCCCCAGGGAAGCAGATAACCTCAAATCAGCTCGAATACTTTGAGCAGAGCCCCAAACAAACAATTGTTTTCCTTTTTACTTCACAGAGTTGATCCCTGGCCAGGAATGTGAGGTTTGTCTCTTTGCACGCTCTCAGGCTGGTGGGTTAAACTGTAGACAAAACACAATTACCGGTTAGTTACTCATCAAGTCAACCAAAAGATGTTAGGATGGTTTAAATGCACGGCAAAGCAGAGTTGGGTCTCCAAGGCAGGAGAAAGGTCAGATTCTTACCCTCTGAAGTCATGATACTTAATTAGGTTGCTTTTTAATGGTCCTTTGGTTCAGGGGACGGCAGTTCTGTGAACAGTGCTCATTTCATTGCTGCAGATACGGCAAACAGTCCTCTGTAAACCATTTTGAAGGCAGCAGCGGGCCCATATGGCTGGATGATGTCAACTGCTCAGGAAAAGAGACCAGTTTCATTCAGTGCTCCAGGAGACAGTGGGGAAGGCATGACTGCAGCCATAGGGAGGATGTGGGCCTCACCTGCTACCCAGACAGTGATGGACACAGGCTTTCTCCGGGTAAGTATGAGATGATGCTCTTAAAGACACAGGTATTCTCTCTGCTTCTCCAGCCATTGGTCTGGAATGCAAACCATTTCCCGTCTTTGACTTACTGGTTAGAGGTCTGTTTCCCAAGAAGAAGATAAGCTTTTGAGTTCTCAGCTCCTAGTACGTGTCTAATTCTGGATTTGCTTTTTACCACTTAAAAGCCTAAGATGTTCAATAAGAAGAAAGGTTTCTAACCCCATATATCTATCTACTGCCCTAAATTCAGTCCCCGAAATTCACATGATAGAAGGAGAGAAGCCATTCCCCTAGGATGTCCACTTACTACCACAACAAAAAGACTATAAAAAATTTTTAATTTTTTTTAAAAGAGTACATAAAACCTTGGGGCTGGATTTCTGGCTCGGTGGCAAAGAGGAAACCACATGGCAGCTCACCACTACATGGAACTCAGAGAATCCACGTCCCTCTCAGGGCCTCGGAGACACAAGGCAAGCACAGACATGCATGCAAGCAAAACACTCATCCCCATAAAAATACATTAGATAAAGCAAAATATATGAATATTTATTGAATAAATAAACGATTGAAGTAGATCATGGGGATCGAATTCCTTGTGGATATGTTTCCTTAATATTGGAACAAAGATTTAAAAATGTAAATATTGAAAGCCATGAATCGTAAAATAATTTCATCAGTTTGGATTTGGTCTTTAGGGAGGGAAATCACCATTTTTTTGAACCTTCACTAAAATTTCAGATACACTAATAAGAAATATAAAGTTTCAAATGTTCTGCTTGATACCTAGTTAAGACTCGCTACTCTATGAAATTTTCTCGACAGAAGTGCATAGAATATTCGCTTAAGTCTGTTGATTTTGGCTTTGCTATATAATTCTCCCTCCTATCCCATGAAGTAATCCTCATCACGGATTGAAACTGAGGATTTAATCATTCTGGGCACAAGGAAAGATGGAGAACTAAAAACAATTATTTTTTTTTTTTTCTGTCTTCGTAAGGGCTCGGGTTTTCCTGAATTAGGACACACCCCAATGACTTCACAGTTTTTTGTAATAGTATGGGATCTCAGTGGGGGCTTTAAGCAAGCCACATTTTTTGTGTCTGTCTACCTATTGCACCAGATAGAGATGTGACTTTCTATCATTTATACAGTGTCATCCTTAAGTTAGTAGAGATTAGTTTCGTGGTTTTTAGATATTAAGATATTTTGTGATTTAAGTCCTTCATTTGAAATGAAAGTTAAATAGAAGGTTTTAGAATTTTTCTGATAGCTGCCTTCTTCCATGCCACCCCCTTCTGGCAGTCTACTCAATTAAGTTGCCCACATATGCCAATGTTGTCCCTCTTTCTACCTTCTAGAAACCTTTACTTGGAAGTATATATTCCATCTATGTTCATGAATTTTAAAAATGACTTAAAACAGAACTCTGTTAACGCTCTATTACTATTTAGAAGTTAGTTGTAATAAAAATAGCTAGCTCAAGACTTTTGAGTGCCATCCGTCTGTCTGTCCATCCATCCATTTATGTGAGCAACTCTTGTCCTCTGCACGTGAGACATTTTCTAATGCTAGTGACAGAAAGTTGAGCGAGATGAACCCTTTGATTGCAGGGCTTTTACAAAAACAAGAGTAACTACTGGATTTTATTGGTATTTCATCTCCTGAGTCGATTTTATATCTACCTTTTAATTGTATTATGGAGAGTTTTCACGTTTTAACATAACTTGGCTTGTTTTGGCTTTTCTAATGTTTTGATATCATGCCTTAGGTTTTCCTATCAGACTAATGGATGGAGAAAATAAGAAAGAAGGACGAGTGGAGGTTTTTGTCAATGGCCAGTGGGGAACAATCTGCGATGACGGATGGACTGATAAAGATGCAGCCGTGATCTGCCGGCAGCTTGGTTATCAGTAAGGAAGCCATAATTCCTCGGGATGGTACTTGGTGAAAGTTTCTCTGACTCAGTGGTTTTCAGGTTCATTTTAGTGAGTTTCCTTTATTTAAAACCAGTTTCTTCAATTAAAGATATCAACAGCATGCTAATTTGAAGTTGTAAAGAGTCAGTAAGTAGTCTGGTCTTATTTATATTAGCTTTACATAACATCACAAATACAGCCCAACTCTGACTATCCATAGTGATAGTGCTGCTGCCCTTAGCCCCAGGCATTCAGTTCACCGTTTCCTGTGACGTGGGCCTCAGTCCTGCATCCTCAGTCACTGAACAGTAGGTTCTTGCTGTTCATGGAGTCAAGCTGTGTAGAGCAGCTAAACACAGTAAACACTGATGTAGCTGAGGCCAGTCTTCCGCCTTTCTGTGTCAGTTGTCAAGCTTATGAGTACTTATCTTCTCTTGCAATCTACTCAGTGCCTTACATTTTCCCTCCTGCATTTGTGTGCTTGTGTGTGTGTGTGTGTGTGTGTGTGTGTGTTAATCCCCCTGTTTGAAACAGCTACCACTCTAGGGCTGATGTGTTGTGTGTTCCCCAGAGGAAGACGGCCATAGTGTGGCTCATGGGGAAATACTTTTTTTTTACAGTATAAAATAAGAAATACGGGTATTTGAATCTGGAGAAGGCAGGTTCTCAGCTGGGTGACTGGATTTTTCATGAGTGACAGTGAAAATATCAAACAGGGGTCTGGGGGTTAGAGTCAAAATACAGGTTACAACGCAGAGGCCAGGGGAATGTCTCAACGGGTAAGAGCACTGGCTGGCTCTGCAATATGAGGACCTGTGCTTGAACACTCAGAACTCACATAGAAAGCCAGGCCTGACTGCATGCTTGTGGCCCAGCATTGCAGCATAGGGACAGACAGATCTTGAGAGCTGGCTAGCCAGCGAGTCTAGCCCAAATGGCGAACTTCAGGCTCAGTGACAGACCTTGCCGCAAGGCAGTAAGACAGAGAGCAAAAGAGGACTCCTAATGTCCAGCTCTGACTTTCATGTGTGCTGACATGTGCACCTGCACCCTCACGTGTGTTGCCATACACACAGCAACACAGCTATAACATAGAGGGCTGTGATATGAGCTAGTATGCATGTTACCTAGTTCAGGGTAGATAGCTAATAATGATCTGTATTTACAAAATATACTGTTAATTATATGCATATCTTAAATATTGATCAGTTGAATTAGTTATTTCTGTATAGAATACAAAATATTTATTCAAAATAGCATCTATGTTTTATAAAATTTCAATATTTTTGTTATTGAGATACTCTGGTATACTGCCTTGTTTTTGACCTACTTGCTGGTCTAGTTATCTTATGGTCAATGGGTCGATAATTTGTAATACTAACTTGCTGTCTTCCGAATTTGTGTGGGAGGGAAAGGGAGAACAGCTTACTCTAAAGGCACAGGTGGACTTAGACAGTGCTGGGTTTTATATGCCTTTGCTCTCTCTATTTCTGTCATTCATCCCTCCACTTGTAAACACATGACTACAGTTCATGGATTTCAATTCTAACCCAGCTATCAAGAGTCATTCTGATAACTGAGAATGGTAGCTCCATCACCTATGTTTTGCCTTAAGATTGTTATTTAAATGAGAATAATCTCAAAATCTGATAAATCTAGGTAGACTTGCATGGTTTATGATTTACAGCTGAGAGAACTTGGGATTTTACATAGGAACACACATACAATTATACACACACACATGATTTGAGCAGGGCATCTTTGATCCCCATGTCCATTTTGAGTCCTAAACACTTTGGCAACACAGTTATTTGCAAAAGATCAATCCAGAAAATGTACACAGTGTAAAGGCCTTAGCCTCTTGTGTGGACATTTTAGAGATCTGTCCTCCTGCCCACAATCTCACGTGTGAAGCATCCTGTGCAAGCAGTGACAATCAGAATAGAATTAGAAAGTATTTTATAGATGGAAAACAGAAACGTGGTCATAGAAACCAGGAACCATGAGTGGAGCTAATATGATATGCTTAGCATGAGCAGAAACGCCAAAGGCATTCTTCAGTTAGGAGTTGCATAATGTCTGACACTGGATAGCATGTGGGCCTATTGTTCTTGGAGTGCTGACAGAATAGGTAGTTGAGTTCTCTGAGGCAGAATAATCAGTCGGGATGGAAATTCCAGTTTATTGAATTCTGTGTGAATATGGTTCAAAGCTCTTGAACGGTTTGTTGATTAGAGTGGCATTCTTAACCAAAATTTAAAGTGGTACACCATCACCACTATTTTAATAGAGATGCAAAATTAAGTATATTTATTTGTCTTACTTTAAACACTTGCAAATGGCTTAATTTCTGACGTAGTTGTATATGCCATTACAAATCAAACTGTTTGACTTTGCTTTCTTGCAAACAAACAACTTGAGGGGGGAGGGTCTATTTTATCGTATGTGTCAGGGAAGCCAGGGCAGGAACTCAAGAAAGAGCAGAGGCAGGGATCAGAGAGAAACACTGCTTACTGGCTTGCTTCCTGGCCCACATTCTGCTGTTTTCCCCCCCAGCCCAGTCTTATCTGTCTAGGGGTAGTACTGCCCACAGTGATCTGAGCCCATCTACAAAATTTAGCAATCAAGAATTTACCTGCATGGGCATATACACAGATCCAGGGCGACTGAGGCCATCTCTCAAGTTGACAGCTAAAGCAAAATACAAAAACCAATGAAAGCATTCCGTAATATCCAGTGGAAGATAAATCTGACCCTGTTGTCCATTTAGAAACAACCGAAGGGCAAACATACTTAATTGATCCATATACAGAAAGTATAGTTACTTTCCTCCTGGAAACTGTATTTTAACTATCTTAAATTTTTCTCCCTCCACTATACATATGTGTGTGCATGTGTAGATGGATACAAATAGAGATGGTCATAGTTTACACAATAGTAAGAGACACCTCATCACTACCGCCAAGCTTAGGAAACAGAATGCTGCTGTACCTTTAAGTGCCTAACGGGCAATTTGCACTCTTCCTAACTCCACTACCAAAAATAAAAACTCTCTAAATTTTGTTTAATTCTATTGCATTTTTTTTTACAGCTTTGAAGTATGTGTTCTCCTTAGCCCATAGTTTGATCTGTTTTTAAAAATCCAATTTTGAAAGTCAGTTGTAGTACAGTCTCACGGCTGTTATCAGTGCTGTGCCTGTATTTGTAGCAGTGTATCGTCATGGCTATAACTGAAAAGCACAGGCCAAATCATTTCTAAAGAACAAAGTTTGGCCGGGCGGTGGTGGCACAAGCCTTTAATCCCAGCACTCGTGAGGCAGAGGCAGGCGGATCTCTGTGAGTTCGAGACCAGCCTGGTCTACAGAGCTAGTTCCAGGACAGGCTCCAAAACCACAGAGAAACCCTGTCTCGAAAAACCAAGAAAAAAAAAATTCTGGAAGGTTGGAAATCTGAGGAGCCGCATTTAGTCAGGATCTTCCCGGTGGTGGAGACGGTAGCCTCAGTGGTGGTGCACTTTACTACACGGGAGAGAGGACTGGTCCAGGGCACAGAGCGCAGATGCCTTTATAAGGGACTTGTTCAAGACAGGTTTAGGGAATATACTCGGGAATATAATCATCAGAATGTTGACTCTGCACATACTCAGGTGTGTCCAGGGCTGCAAGGTGCTTTCCCATGGGGCTACACTACTTACACACTCAGTAGTCTTTAAATTTGTGACTAGCTAGTGTTTACACCCCATCGCTAATCACTAATGAGATCAAACACATTTTCTTTTGCTTACTGGTCATTACTATTTTGTTTTATATAAAATGCAATGTTTTGGCATCTATTTTATTGGGATTACTTCATTGGTATCTATTTTGCTTTTATCCTTAAGTTTTGTGATTTTTAAAAGTTTTCTGTGATTTTGGGAGCTCTTTGTATAATGTATGCTATTTTCTCTATTATAAAAGTATTTATCCCAACAAATATATTTGTGTTTATTACAAATACCAGGTTTCTGATTTATCTTTTCACTTTCCTTAGTGTAGTTTTTAAAGTGAAATTCTTGATTTAAGTTGTTGAGTTTATCAGTCTTTTACCTTAATATGTTTAATAATTTTTTCCGAACTTGATTTGTTAGGGATAGTTTTCCTGATTCTAACTTGAATGATTTTTCCTTTCATAATTGTGTTCAGTAATTTACTAGAAATTGAGTTACTTGTCTTCATTAACAAGGTTTTTTATTTGAATATCTTCAGAAAGTAACATTGAAACAACAGCAACATCAAAAAATATTACAAATAATTCTGCCTTCCTTGGCTCCCAGCTTTGTCTGTGTTAAGAGCTGTACCTATTGCTTAAAAAGGAAGCGAAAAGTAGATCTTTAGGTCCCTGGTAATTATTTAATCTCATATTTTTCTTGGCAATGTGATATTAAAAGAGTGAAATTTTGGTGCCTTTAGTTTTGAGATGCATTATGTGTGTGTTTCTAGGTAGAAGCTAAATTAGAGGCAGTTGATTCTGCAAGATTGTCTATGGAGCACACGAATGAAGAATGTTAAATGTTTTCACAGCCACAAGTAATTTTTCAGTACATGCGTATACTAATTTTAATATTCAGATCTAAGGAAGAGTTAAGCTGAAGTGTGTTGAATTTGTCAGATGCTTGGCTGGCCACCCCTACATCTGAAGAACTCTGTTTCTAGGGGTCCTGCCCGAGCAAGGACCATGGCTTATTTTGGGGAAGGAAAAGGACCCATCCACATGGACAATGTGAAGTGCACAGGAAGTGAGAAGGCCCTGGCTGACTGTGTCAAACAGGACATCGGGAGGCACAACTGCCGCCACAGTGAAGATGCAGGGGTCATCTGTGACTATTCGGAGAAGAAAGCGTCAGGTCGTGGCAGTAAAGGTAAGTCACTTCTGGGCCACTGAGCAAGCCGAGAATTCTCATCACTATTGCTGGACTTCGTTAACAAAACCCTAGTGCATAAGAAATGCGCACAGCCGCTTGTTGTTTGTGTCCATGGTTAGAGCTGCTGGTGGCCGGCCGGCATATGTGTCTTCACAAGGCTTACCGCGGGGCAGGACTGGGCTTCCAGAACCTTGCCTGAGATCAACTCCTGTACATTCCCAACCATTTCTGTATTACTCTTTCTTTGAAATCCTTTGTTATCTTTTACAAAGAGAACATCTTTTAAATCTGGATAGACGTACATAGTCTTGGTTCATTTTCACACCCTCTCTTTAGTAATTGTTGAGCTAATACAAGAGCAGGACTGGATGGTGCTGACATGGTTCTGCGCTTCTCAGGTGCTTCTAGCTGTGATAGCAATACTCAGAAGCCTGCTTTCCCTGAAGACAACCCTTTTCCCTAAATACATCTTTCCCTAAAAAGTTAACTTGTTACATTCCTTTCAATAATTAAAATAATATTTAAAAATTGAATATAAAATTCTTCATTATATAGAACTAAATATACATAATTATATAACAATAAATAAATTATATTGTATATGTTTATACGCTATATATATATTATGTCAAATTCCTGGAGCAGCTGAAAACTGTAAAACTGAATATGTCGGCACATTTTATTTTGATGCCTTTTCATGGTAGGTAGTGCTTCCATTAATCAGCAAAATGTGTCATCTCTAGCTACGTCACAGGATTTGGCTCATTATCTTCTTGTTTTCTGCTGCAGCGCAGAACTTTGTGACTCTCATAAGACAGTAGAACACAGTGATTGGTGACTGGTCGTCTGATAGGGTATTCTTATACAAGAATCCAATCGCGCTTCTCAATTCTCTACTCCAAGTGTACGGCTTGATATTGATCTTTGCTTCTTAAAGTCGGGTACTTTGCCCCAGAAGGACACACAATTTAAGTTTTGCTTACTTTGTATTAGAGCATCACTTTTCTTGGCATCAGATACCCTGGTCCAATTTTCTCATATTAAATGTTGCAGTGCCCTCTGTAAGACTCATATCCAAAGTGATGAAGGGTCTGGTTTTGATGGCATGCCCCTAAGGTGACTCGGCAAATTAATCATCCTGGTACACATTGCTACACCTCTTTCTTTGCCAAAAATTACTGCTGGCCCTCTGGTGGATTCCCTTGCCTAGTTACTTTGGAACCATTAGCACTGATTTGGTCTTGGTGTTCTTGGCACTATTCCCACCGTTCTTATACAGATAAAAAAATAACAAATACAAAAACGTGTGTGCACAATATGCTTTTAACTTATTTATATGCTAATAAATAAGCAGCTATACATTTGTGTATATATGTAAACTACTACATAAATTCTTTCTAAAATTATTTTAAAATTTAGTCATGATTTATATATTTTCTTTTCTTTTGTATACATTTGTCACTTTCTAATATACTTAATTGAACTCTTGTGTATTTATGGCAGAATGTTCCCCTAGGAAGGATAATCAGGGATGTTTTGGCAGCCCGTGAACCCCTCCAGAGCCTAATGATTGGAAACTTCATAAAATTTCTGATCGATTTGCATAAGACTGTTGTTAGGTTAAAATATAACTCTTATTTATTTATTTTTCTGTTTTTTTTCGAGATAGGGTTTCTCTGTGTAACAACCCTGGCTGTCTTAGAACTAGCTCTTGTAGACCAGGCTGGCCTCAACTCACAGAGATCTGCCTGCCTCCCAAGTGCTGGGATTAAAGGGGTGTGCCACCACCACCTGGCCCATAACTCTTATTCTTATTTTATATTTATTTAAAAAAAACCTGTCTTCTCTCATTTTACCTATCAGATCCAGTTCCCAACCCCTCCCTCCCCCCACTCCCTCACCTTACCTTCCCCTTCCATCCCCATCCACTCTTCAGAGAGGCTAAGGCTTCCCATGGGGAGTCACAGTCTAGCACATTGCTTTGAGGCAGGACCAAGGCCCTCCCCACTATATCTAGGCAGAGCAAGGTATCCCTCCAGGGAGAATGGGTTCCAAAAACCCAGTAAAAGCAGTAGGGATAAATCCTGATCTCATTGCCAGGGTCTCCACAGTCTGCTCCAGCCATACGGCTGTCACCCACATTCTGAGGGCCTAGTTTGGTCCTATGCTGGTTCCCTTGCTGCCAGGCCAGAGTTGGTGGGCTCCCATTAGCTCAGGTAAGCTGTTTCAGTGGGTGTCTCCATCGTGGTCTTGACATCTTTGCTCTTATTCCTTCCACTCTTTGACTGGACTTTGGAAGTTCAGCCCAGTGCTCCCCTGTAGATCTCTGCATCTGCTTCCATCAGTTGCTGGATGAAGGTTCTATGATGACAATTAAGGTAGTCATCAATCTGACTACATGGCAAGGCCAGTTCAGGCACCCTCTCCACTATTGCTTAGGGTCTTAAGTAGGATCATCCTTGTGGATTCCTTGGAATGTCTCTAGTGCCAGGTTTCTTGCTAGCCCCATAATGGCTCTTTCAATCAAGATATCTCTTTTCTTGTTCCTGTTTCTGTCTCTCCCCCATCTCGACCATCCCATTCCCTCAAGTTGTCCTCCCGCCTCCGTTTCTCCCCTCCTCTTCTGCCTTCCCTTCTCCCCCACATTCCATTTTCTCAGGAGATCTTGTCTATTTTCCCTTTCCAGGGGATCTATGTATGTTTCTCCTAGGCTTCTCCTTGTTACTTAGCTTCTCTGGGGTCATGGACTATAGGCTCCTTGAGATTATTTAAATAGAGAGGAGGATGTACTGGGGCCAGGTGACAGGTGTTAGTAACCCCTTTCTTCTTTCAGAGCTCTCATCTGGGTGTGGATTGAGATTATTGCATCGTCGACAGAAACGGATCATTGGTGGGAACAATTCTTTAAGGTAGTAAAAGACTCTTCAAGCAGATTTTGATAGTACAGGATTATTAATATGTGTGTATGCTACAAGTGTTCCAGACCCAGGGTTTCCTTTTATTATGCATGGGGCTTGTTTTTATCATTTTATAAATAAGTAAAGAGTTATAAATTACTTATAAATTAAGTAAAAACTACCAGTAAACCGATAGTTTTCCTGCCTTTAAAAAAAAGATTTACTTAATTTTGTGTGTATTGGTGTTTTGCCTGAATGTGTATCCTTGCAGGGGTGCCAGATCCCCTAGAACTGGAGTTATAGACAGTTGTGAGCTGCCATGTGGGTACTAGGAACTGAACCTGGGTCTCCTGGAAGAGTGGCCAGGGCTCTTCACCACTGAGTTATCTTCAGCCCAGTTTTCCTGCCCTTTGATGAGCATGGTATATATATATATATATTACTGTTTGTGACTCATGGTATATGTTTTGGACACAAAATGTGGCAGAAAAAGGTATGTAACTCTGAAGAGCCATTTAATGGAGAAGAATTTTTTTTTATAAAGACAGATATAAATAATAGCATTACTTAATGCTCATTTTCATTGTAAAGTGTCATATTTATGAGACAAAATCTTACAAAAATCTACACATCATAGTATAGCATTTGAATATTAAAAAGATCACATGAGTTTTCATATAAAGTGAGATCTTTGATATACAATTTTCAATTTTTATCTTATGCTTCATTTCAGAGAGAGAGAGAGAGAGAGAGAGAGAGAGAGAGAGAGAGAAAGAGAGAGTGAGTGAGAGAGAGAGAGAGAACAGCAAGGGAATAAAGCATACTCGCTAAACTGACTCTTGGTCCTCAGCCAAACCAAGGAATGTAGCTTGTGTGTGTGTGCCTGCATGTGTGTATCTGTGTGTGCGTGTGTGTATGTGTGCCTGCATGTGTGTGTGTGCCTGCATATTTGCTTTCTAATTGAGTGATTTTTAAAATACATTTTTAATTTTAATTCCATGGTAGGAAGCCAGTACTTCCTTAGGCTACATGAGGTACCTACGCATCTGAGTAGGGCAAGTAGAGAGATTACACTGGACCAATGGAATATAAAGAAGACAGCTTGCTTCTAAGAGAGTTGGAGATGAGTGGAATGTATAGAGATGCCTGTCAGCAAATTTTCAGAGTTCTCGATATAAACGGTAAATTGAGTTGTATGGACATTGTTCTCCATGTAGGAAGGACCTAATGGCTTCACTTTGCTGAGTGCTGAGTCCTTCCCTCCACCTGCCCTGAAGTCATTGTTTCACCTGATGCTTTCTTTCCTTCTCCCCTCTCTTGAATGTGTGGCTTGACTTCTAGGGGTGCTTGGCCTTGGCAGGCTTCCCTCCGACTGAAGTCGTCCCACGGAGATGGCCGGCTGCTTTGTGGAGCCACCCTTCTGAGTAGCTGCTGGGTCCTGACAGCTGCGCACTGTTTCAAAAGGTGTGTGCCCCTCATTCCAAGCAATATGATATCCTGTAGCTCACTCCATGCCCAGCGGCACTGTGGGTGGCAGAACCGGGCAATATGCTTTCTCTGTATGCCCTGCAGAGCTGTGATTATAAGGGAGGTGATGCAAGGAAGACCAGCAAAGAGGCCTCAGGAAACAAACTGATGTTCTCTGGTCAAAACAAGTCTGGAACGAGGGAGGACGGAAGGGAACTTTGCGGAGAGGAAAGAGAAACGGTGGTGCATTCCTCAAGTGTTTACCTAAGATGCGGGTGTGGGGAAACATCCCTGGACTTTGGAGGTTGAGGCAGGAGAATAATTGAGTTTGAGGCTAGCATGGGACGAACATTGAGGTTATCTCAAACAAACAAGTGAGCAAGCAAACAACACACACCAATAAAAATGTATTTGATGAAAATTCATATCCTTGCAGAAGTAAAATTGAGGTATATTATTTGGTTTCCAGTTGTTCTAAGGAGGAAGAAATATAGCCTTAGTGCTTTTAATGTCTCTACACTCTTGGTGGTTTGTGTATCAAGTTTCTCTGTATCTTCTTGAAAGCCACACTACGTCTCTTTTATTCTTAGCTTTTATGGCACAGAGTCCTACCTGACAAGAGCTTCCTCTCGTCCCAGACATTTTATCAGTCCATTCTGAGCTTTTCCCAGCCCGCTGGAACTAGAGTTATAGACAGTTTTGAACTGCCATGGGGTGCTAGAAAACAAACCCAGGACCTCGGCAAGGAAAACAGGTGTTCTTAACCACTGAGCCCTCTCTCAATCACCTCCACCTTGTTTTTTGAGATAAGGTTCCCACATTTTTCCTAGTGTTAAATGATATTTTGGGACATGGGTATGCTGCTAGCAATTTTAAGTAGAAGCTGAAGTAAATTAATGATATATATATATAATATTTCTTTTGAGTCGTATGTGGTACAAATTATTCGCTTTTGCTATTTCTTATTGTAAATCATTGCACAAAGCACTATGAAGTGACCTTGTGTCTACAGTGGCACAGAAATACAACTAAGAGAAGTTTCTGGCCGTTTTAATTCCTGTTAACTTCCCATATTGACTACAAACGCAATTCTAGAAGAATTAATGCATGCGAAACAAGGGCTTTCTTATTGCCTTTAATTGTCTACTCCAATTTAATCTGCTCAAGAATATCATTTTTCTCGATTTTATCTCTTTGACTTTTTGCCTGGAAATACCACAGGAACTACAAATTGGCAGAGATTATTGCTGTGCAAGAGGTGGACTCTGTAAACGCTTATCATTAGAAAGACTAGTCCCAGAGGTAACGAGAGTTATGTCTAAACACCAGCGAATCAAATGTATCTCTCGTGCTCTCCTAGATGATGGAGTTCTGAGGAACATGGTCTTTGCTGGGGCACTGAATCATGCCAAAGCCCTTTCCTGCATATGCATTGCCTATCTGTCAGGGACAGTGCAAGGTCCCAGGAAGATGACTTCTTCCACAGCAATGGCAAGCATTAGTACAGGCAACTGTAGTGAAGGACGTTCTGAGTTTAATCCAGATTCTAGCGGCAGCGATGCGCACAGGCTGATATTAAGACACTGTGATATTTTTGAGAGATGACTCTACATAGAGAAAAAACATAAATGTTCTCTACATATGGCCCTAAACCTAACCTAATTCTTCACTTTTCAATTCTAGGAATTTGTTGTTGTTCATCTTAATGATAAAATATCAGAGAAACTGGGATTATTAATATTAGATTTCCTGGGCTGCCTGGTCTCAGATCCTCTCTTGCACAAACTTGTTTGGGAGTTTCATCCAATTTTCATTTGTGGGCAGTTGAAAGAATTTCAACAAACAATTCAAAGACATGTCAGCCAAAACTTAGAATGTTTTGCTTTAGAAAGATTTTTTTTTTTATACATCTAACAATACAACACAAATTCAGCTAAGCTAGGAAGACTAAAATACATGAAAAAAATTTCCTTTATGTTTTCTGGAGAAGCCTTGAGCCACACGTCTTTGACACCCAGAAATACACCAGGATACGGTTTCCTCCCTGAAGTTCTTCATAACACCCACTAGGAAGTAGTAGTAGACAAATACTTGGTTGGAAAACTAGTCAAGATTTTTTAATCAGATGCCCCTCAAATCTCAAGCATAATAGTCCATTTTAAGAATAATTGGAGTTTGAGCCGGAAAGATGCTAATCTAATAAAATAAATGCTTGCCTAATGTGTTAGGGTTTCTATTGCTGTGAAGAGACACCATGATCATGGCAACTCTTAAAAAGAAAACATTTAGTTAGGGCTATCTTACAGTTCTGAGGTTCAGTTCATTATCATCATGGTGGGACATGCCGGTATGCAGGCAGACATGGTATGAGAGAAGCAGCTGAGAGTTCTTATGAAACCAACAGGAAGTGAACTAACATAACTGGGCATAACTTGAGCATATATGAGACCTCACAGCCTCCTCCAACAAGGCCATAACTCCCAGTAGTGTCACGCCTTATGAGCTTATGGGGGCCAATTATATTCCGATTACCACACTTCATAATCGTGAGGACCTAAGTTCAAATCCTCCCCAGAACCCATAAAGCATGCTTGTATACCAAGGATGGAAAGAGAGCAGACAGATCCTAGGAGCGTCCTAATCAGCTGACAGTCCTAATTGGCAAAGTCCCAGGCCAACAGGAGACCTTGTTAAACAAAAAGTGGGCGGCACTCAAGGAACAAGACTCAAGGTTGTCCTCTGACAGGAACTTCTTAAACACATCAATAGCACAGGGACCAACCCCAATATCAAAAGAAAGGACTACATATAAATAAAGGAAACCATCAGCAGAACAGACAGCCCGCAGTGTGGCAGAGAATATTTACCAGCTATACTTCAGACAGTGAGCCAAGACACAGAACATACAAGGAACTGCAGAAATTCAATACCAAACGGGCAAATGAACTGAACATTTTTAAAGGAAAAGAAAGGCTAGGCATCAGGGAAAGGGCAAGACTACGCTGAGATAGCACCTCACTGGAGTCAGGATGGCTATCATCAACGCACCTGACAGCAAATGCAAGAGAGGACGGAGAGAGGAAGAAACCCTCAGTCACTGCTGGTGTGCTTGCAAATTAATATAGCCACTGTGGAACTCAATTATCCAATTGAGTGAAACTCAAATAAAGATATTTCCAGCCCCCATGTTTATTGCTGCTTCATTCCCTATAGCAAAAAAACAAAAACAAAAAATGGAATCAATCTAGTTATCCATCAACAGATGCAGAAAAGAGAACAAGAAAGGTCAAATATTAGAAGATGAGGAAGGCCTGCATGAAGGTGACTCAAGTTATTAAACAGGATATAAAGTTAATTGTTCTTTTAGTTTTAATTGTCATGGATTTTTTTTTTGATGATGGGTAAGTACCTAAAGATATATTTGAACTGGGTGGTGGTGGTTCACGCCTTTAATCCCAGCACTCAGGAGGCAGAGGCAGGCAGATCTTTATGAGTTTGAGGCCAGGACAGTCAGGGCTACACAGAGAAACCCTGTCATGAGAAAAATAAAAGATATTATTTGATAAAGAAAGTCCAATGTAAAGCTCCATAGATGCAGAAATGTACAAATTATTCAAGATAATTTGTATTAATTAATACAAATAATTAAGATGTATAGACTTTGGGTCCAGTTAATTTTGGTGCGTATTTTTCTTTCTTTTTTTCTTTTTTGGTTTGATTTTTGAGATAGGGTCTATATAGTCCTGGCTGTCCTAGAACTAGCTATGTAGACCAGCCTGGCCTCAAACTCAAAGAGATCCACCTGCCTTTGCCTCCCGAGTTTTGGGATTAAAGGTGTGTGCCACCATTACCTGCCCTCGTGTATAGTTTTTTATAACAGTTTAGAAAATTTTAAGATAAATTTATTTTTAAATATTAATTTTACATTTTGAAATGAATCTGCAGACGCATACTTGGCATAAGGGAGAAAAACTCTTTGAACTTTAAAGACATAATGATTTAGGTTAGAAATGGAGAAGGGTCAGGAACCTCATGGTTATGAGTTGATGGCTGCAATAATCATACAAGATGGTCAGGGCCTTACTCAGGGCCCTGAAGGTTCAGACCTCTCCTCCCACAGGAGTAAATGGGCTTCTGTTTAAATAAGCAGTCAGGAGTCAGTTCCAGCCTCCAGATTTCTACCAGCCAACGACTGAGTATAAACACTTTAAACTCAAATTCAAGTGGAGGTCTTGGTCACTGTGCAACTTTCCTATTTTGTGGAGAAAAAAAATGAAGGGTTTTCCACATTGAAAAATGAATGTTAACATTTTTCTCCCCAGCAGTTAGATGCCAGCGTGAAATATGAAGACAGCTGCTAGAAACCAGGGTTTGTCTTTGGCAGGCAAAATGAAAAGATTGGAAGTTTTGAAAACTGTGATTGCAGACTTGAATGTGGTGATGCACACCTGGACTATCAGCACTGTGAAAGCTGAGGCAGGAGGATGGGTGCAAGTCTGAGGCTAAACATAGTGAGTTCCCTGCTAGCCTTGGCTACAGAGTGAGATCCTGTTTTAAAATAACAATACAAAATAAAATAATAAAATGTTAATCAACTCTGAAACGTGTTGAAGATGCTCGAAGATCAGCTAAGCTTTTATTCTTTATGTAAAAGCACAAGAACATATCCACCGCGTTAGTATACAAGTTTGCTTTCATCTTTAGTAAGCGGCAAAGTTAAAGGCACACCAAAGAACTGTTGAAAACAGATTCACGACTTACTACCACTAAGTGTTTATTTTTATGTTACTGCATACCTCGGGTCATATACCAATAAAGTTCCAGAAGCCCTGGTTCTTGCTGTCGGTAGAGGTCAGGCAGTGAACAACAGCTGTGATCTTCGGTGAGGAGGAACTAACCAGGTGGGCAGGCTAGTCTACTCTGGGCCCAGAAGTCTCACTTCGGGGGTAGCTGGTAACTTCACAAGGCGGTTAAAGAGTAAACTAGAAAGTGTTTAATACTGATAACGAGTGCAAGAAAGAAAACACAGGGAAAGTACAAGAGATTAAGCTTCATGGAGGTGACATCAAAGTAAAGCAATACGGCGAACCTCTGCTGACAGTCCGGTTGTGCCTGACTCTCTCTGGATAATAAACTGAGGCTTCTTCCTAGAGACAAGGCGGGTTGCGCGAGCACAGGGACACAGGCAGGAGCCGTGCTTATGCCTCCACGCACGGGAACGTGGCAAACCAGGGCAGCGGTTCTGCGCTACACCGTGTTCCTCTTGCAGACTTTCCCCATTTGATAAGGGACCGACAGCCCGATGCTTTGTCCTTATTTTTTCCGCTCCCTCTCCACATTTGCTACTTCCCAGGCGAAGTCAAAGTAAGATGACAGCCATGGGCTTTGGCGGGGGTGGCAGTGAGCATTGGGGGAGAGAAATGGGAAGAGGACATGACTTGGCATAACAGTTATTTGTTCTGTTTTAACATCCCAGCTGTCAATCATCAGTTTCCCCTTATCTGAAAAAACCCTCACATCCGGCTCTTTCCTTCCAGGTATGGGAACCACACCAGGAGCTATGCAGTTCGAGTTGGGGATTACCATACTTTGGTACCCGAGGAGTTTGAAGAGGAAATAGGGGTTCAGCAGATTGTCATCCACAGGAACTACCGGCCAGACAGCAGTGACTATGACATCGCCCTGGTTAGACTACAGGGAACAGGGGAGCGATGTGCCAGACTAAGCAGCCATGTTCTGCCAGCCTGTTTGCCTCTGTGGAGAGAGAGGCCACAGAAAACAGCCTCTAACTGTCACATAACAGGATGGGGAGACACAGGTAATATAAAAAAAGAGGCACACTAGGAAAACTGGGCAGCTTCCTGTCTGGTGGCTACATGGTAGGGTGTGCAGTGAGTGGTAGGACCTTAGAGGGACTCAGGTTTGATGCCTGAAGTCTGCCAGGTGTAAAATGTACACACGCAGCCTAGGTTCACATCCAGAGTGTTGGTGCAAATGCCAATGTTAGCACAGCTGATAGAACTCAACTGCTAATAAGGGTAGAAAGTGTTCTACCACTTTTAGCCACCCAGACCAGTGAGAGAACAGCAGAGAGGTTTAAAGGCCAAGTCCAAGAATTCAATCTAGAATCCTATGTACTTTCAAAAGCTTTCCAGATTTGAACAGTTGACCCAGTCAGTAAAGGGCTTCGATTTTTTTTTGTGCTTTTTGTCAGGGAACCTTCATCAAGCTGATTTTAAAGGAGATTTCCTAATAAAATTTGGCCAGAAAACAGCAAAGCTTCTTAGACTAAAGTGGAAGAAAAAACATTTAAAACTTCTCTCACCCTCTCATTTCTACTCCAACCTCTAAGCAGCGGTTGTATTCAACATGGGTTCTTGGGTGAATGTAGCTGCTTCAACTGTCTGGCTGTGGTGGTGGTGACAAGCTAGTGCCCATTAAGGAGCATGTACTCCAGGACAGGCCTTAAGATAGACCGAGGTCTCACTAGCATTAGGTGCTCAACTGAAAAAAAAATGTAGTATTAAGAAATCTTAGGCTAGTGAAAGTGTCAAGCAAGCCTATTTTTGTAGGTGTTGAAAACATGCTTCATCAATTCCCACTATGGAGCAGTCAGACTTGCCTGCTACTCCCTGGCAGCAAAGCACTCCTAGAAGGCTGCTGTTTTTATAACCCTGATTCCTTTATGAGATTATTTGCTTTCCTTTGGGCACATCAAATGACCAGGACAGTACATTTTCTAGGATGGTCTGTTTAGTTGGCTCCATTTAGTAGGCTAAGAGAACATGGAGGACATGCCAGTTGCACAGTTAAGCCGTTCCACAAATAGCCCATCAGGAAGTAGAGTGTTTATAGGGGAAACTGCACTTCTTTATGAACATCCTTATACAATACCACCTCCCTATGTTAAACAGTTCCCACCTTATTTAGGAGTAGCCCCCATTTTGAAATCCCATCAATGATGCAGTATTGTGTTAAATGTGCTCATTAGCTGAAATCTAACTCATCTTTGTTCTGAGCAGGGCGTGCTTACTCAAGAACCCTACAACAAGCAGCTGTACCTTTACTACCCAAGAGGTTTTGTAAAGAGCGTTACAAGGGTCTCTTCACTGGAAGAATGCTTTGTGCTGGAAACCTCCAGGAAAACAACCGTGTGGACAGCTGCCAGGGAGACAGTGGTGGGCCACTCATGTGTGAAAGGCCTGATGAGACCTGGGTCGTGTATGGGGTGACTTCCTGGGGATACGGCTGTGGAGTCAAGGATACTCCAGGTGTTTACACCAGAGTCCCAGCATTTGTACCGTGGATAAAAAGCATCACCAGACTGTAATTTTATGGAAGGCTTCAGTAAAGAAACTGATGGGAAATATTCAGTCTCCATATTTGGTACCAAACCAGGGAAGACAACTTTTGGAGCCAGAGATTCCTCCTCCAGCAGTCTTGGCATACAAGTACTTCAGTGTAATACTGAGCTTTACCTTCCTTGCCTATTGTAATTTTTTTAAGTTGATAAATATGGATTTTTAACTGTATGATCAGGTGCCCAAATTTGACCGTTTTCCCTACACTAAGACTGGAGAGTTTGACTTTTTGTATCTGATCTCCTTAGCACGTTAAATGATGCAATCAGAGACCAGAAAGACGAACTTTCAAGTTGGAGTAGATTTTTTTTTACTGATTTACTACTACCCAAGCCTCCCCCCAACACTGGAGGCAGCTAAAGTAGAGTTTCCACTACACTGCCTTTTGGACATGGTACAAGAGTGCCACCTACTGGCAGTTGCCAATAAGCCTACAGGTTTCTCAGGACTAACCGGACACAATCTGATGGGAAAAAATATGCACACAACATAAAATAGACCACACGAAGTGGCCATACAACTTACAAATTGGGAAGCCAGTGGTCCCTTTCAAATTTGGAATCTGTATTTCTTATTAGAGTTCCCAAGTTCCCTTAGGTAAGGTATACTGCAATCTCAAACAAGACTATTGCTGGAGCAAATTCCTTAAGGTTGCCATCCACTTTAGTATGACCGTATATTTAACTAGGTACCAGTAGTCAAAAGCATGTCCCCCTAAAAGGTGCCGTATTATTCACTTTGGGGACGTGAAGCTCAAATACACTGTTTTTGTAAAACCCCATCCTCACATGGTACATGCTGACAGAAAGGCTTGGTGAGCAGCGCACAACACACACATCTCTCTATAAAGGCAACTGTCCGTTGGTTGCCTGCGTAACAAAATTACTCTGAAAATGCTAAGGCCAGCAAATGACAAATGTGACAAGCGGTTAACTTTTAGTTTGCACAAGCCCAAAGCTTTAACAAAATCGACACACAAGTTCAGTGCACCTTTGCATAACATACAGCAATGAGACCACCCTCCCCTCAAGTATCCTGGTTATCCCAGACATTTTCTCTGCAAAATGTCTGTGTAAGAACTCTACTCAGTCTCCAAAAATAAACAACACAATCTTATTACTCATCAACCAAACTTTATTTAGCTTATTAAAAACTTCATATGAAATAAAGGCCCGCCGTATTAACATTCACAATGCCCATTACCAAGATTTAAATGCGAAGATTCCATGTTAGGTGCCCGGAAGATCTTAGCCACTACTACTTTAACAATACCTGCAAGAAAAGAAAACCAACATTACAGACATCTCTGTGCATTCCCCTCCGTCCTGAGACCCTACCAGTTCAGCAACTTCCTAGACAACTGGCTATTACCATCCAAGTTACAGAATGCCAGCACGCGTGCAAACCTCGCGAAAACAGTAATCAATAACGGCCTTCTCACCACTCGGAACCCCGAAAACATTCTAAACATGAAACTTACCTGAACGTCTCTTCCATCACCAAACAGCAATGAGTTCCGATGTTACCTAGAAACAGTTCGATAGTTTAGAGAAGTATGTCCACTTTCCTGGCACCTCGCAGATTCGTTAACAACTTAGATAGAATGTTACTTGCTCAAGTCAGAATCTGGTCCCAATTAAATGGTGACAGCTTTGCCAATAACAAGTACATGCTCTTCCATGCCTAGGAAGGGAGGCTGCCACAGCCGGCAGGTCCCAAAGACACATGGACTTTCACAACCCAGAACCCGGGTTCACTCCCGAAGGTATCACTCACCATCCGTGACAGTGGAGGTCCTCGGGTGTTTCCGCTCAACACGGGGTCAGCTTCACATGGCTGTGGCCCGCGTGCTAGCCCTCACCAGGCTTCTGTGCTGCAGACGGCCGGCGGCGTGCATCGCACCAGCCTCGTGCCGCCCGCATCTTAGCAGCTCACAAACCAGGGGCCAACGGCCAAAGAGGCTTCAACACGCGGTGTGCGCGCTTTTATAGTCCTGGTGACGCTCTCCCGAGAGCCTGCGCGACAAGGGCGTGGCCTACGTGCCCTTTCCGACCCTCTCCCGCGTTACTCACTTTGATTGGCTTAGGCGTCTCGGGTGCGGCGCATGCGTCCACACGAATTGGGGGCGGTAATGGAGTGGGGCGGAAGGAGGAGGAGAACAAATCCCAAGCCAAAATTCTCGCGTTGTCTGAAGTCTCCTTGCTGATGCGACCGCAAGGCAGACATTCGTTCGTCCCGGGGCGTTCTTTTCAGAGTACCAAGTCCACCTTTTCGGCGCTGCCGCCTCCCGACACGTCACTTCCGGTGGCGCAGCTTCTTTGCTCCCGGGTGCTGTCCGCGGCGCCTTTGCACTCGCCGTATTCCGTTTCCGCTGGCTCTGGCGCCCCCTCGGCTTGTCTTTTCGGTCTGATCTTTATCTTAAGGATTTTTGTGCGAGGCAGCGCACCGACTCAGTCTAGTTACTTAGGCCATGGCTAGAAAGAGATCACCCTTAGTAAATGCACCCCAGCCTTGTCATCCCCTTTATTCCCGTTTGAGACAGAATAGAGGGTCTCGGGGGAACCTTTAGTGCTGGACCGCTGGAGGCTGCAGTTGCTGTCATGGGGAAAGTTACGAAGCTGTAAGGGAGATCAGCAGAAGTTTCAGGAGGTCACTACATGCTTGCAGGGACCGAGTTATTTAGAGCAATTCTGGGCTGGTGTCCGAGTGAACAAACTTAGAGGAGACACGTATGCACTGGAAGGACCTAGAGATGTTTATAAAGCTCGCCGCGTTCATCGAATCTCTCGTTTTACTTCGCACATCGTTAATGATCCGGAAGAACTAAATATCAAGGCTTAAATACCTAACCACGGTTGAGACCTTTGCCCGGACACACTTCATTTGACTGTCGAGTAGATAGATGAATAGGGTGTCTTCTAAAGAATAGGGCGCTGGCCGTTTCTGAGTCTTCTTTCTCTGGCCTGTAGATGGTAGTCTGCGTCTTCCCGTGGGGTTTTCCTTTGTGCCTGACTGCACCTGCCAGGTTTGATAAAGTCCTTTAAAAACCTCATTAATACAGCAATCTCTAGAGTCTAGGGATTAAGCCTTCAATATAAGTTTTGGGAGCACAGTTTGTTATAGAACCATGTATTTATGCTAAGACGTGTCTTCCTGAAGATTTTGATGAAATGTTCGAAAGCTAGCATGGGATAAATGAGAGTTTATGTACTCGAATGTTCCTGCCTTTTAATAATTTTTTTTTTGTCTGAAACTGGGCTTTTAAAATCGGCCTTTTGTCCTCTCGCTTTGTTCTTGCTCTTTTCTCGCCTTGTTACCTTCCCCTCACCCACATCTCTTCTTGTTGAAATTCTTTAACGATTTCAGTGTTTTGGTCAAGTATTTTTAAAAAAATGTTTATCCCTAAAACTGAAATTGATTTTTTGACATGTAATATTTGCATCTTCTCTTGGCGTCTTTATTATAAACTCCTGTGAAGACCTTAATTGAACTCCCTGGCCGAAAGACTTAAGTGAGCACTTGGGACCATGACCAAATGCCTTGATGTGTACCATATCTTTTTCTGATACTGAAAAAGATGTGTTACTAGAGTTTGGGATGGCACTTCATTTTTGAGTGCTTACATAGCAGCACACAAGGCCCTGGAATTAGTCCCCGGCAAGGCATATGTTGGGCACGGTGGCACATATATGTAACTCTAGCACTAGGGGCTTTCAGAAGGTCAGGGTCTTCCTTGGCTACCTAGTAACTTTATGGACAGTCTAAGGTACATGAGATCCTAGCTCAAACACATTTATCACTATTACTTAGTTTAAAACATTATTTTGGGGGGAAGTGGGTTGGAAATGTAGTTTAGGGGCAGAGTGTTTGTCCAGTATGCACAAGGCCCTGTGTGTGATCTCCAGCATTACAGGGGAAAATTAAAAGCAAAAACAATAACAAGCAAGCAATAACGAAAGTCATTTTTCTCCAGGTGGACTTTAATTCCTCCCTGTAACCGTAGCACCGATTTCATCATGGGTTTTATGACGTGATTTCAAGGTGTAGTGAAGGAAGGGAGGATGTCCTAGTTTCTGTTGCTGTGATAAAACACTACAGCCAAACGCAGCTTGGAGAGGAAAGGGTTTATTTGGCTTCCAGGTTACAGTCTATCATCAAGGCCGAGGCAGGAACTTCAACCATGGAGGAATGCTGCTTACTGGCTTCCTCTTGGTTTACTCAGCTTGCTTTCTTATACAACTGAGGACTAGCCTGCCCAGGAGTGGCATTGCCCACACTGGATTGAATCCTCCACATCAATCCTTAATCAAGAGAATGCCTCACAGTCAAGTCCACAGGCTAATACCCTGGAGGCATTTTCTCAAACCAGGTTCCTTTTCAGATGCCCTAGCTTATGTTGAGTTGGCAAAAATAAACAGCACAGAGAAGGAATACATTAATGGTGCTGGGAAGTGGGAGGAGGGACTCACATTAATCAGCACAGACAGACAGACAGACACAAAGTACAGGGACTTAAAAGTGGAGATGGAGACTAGACTCAGGTCAGGAGAAGAGCCAGTGAAATGTGTCCTGAAAATCAGTTTTCAAGGACAGTAATCCACTGTTAGTGATACAAACCAAATGACAGCTGAAAAGTTGCTTGGAGTTGGCAACACACAGGTTGTTTGGGTCCTTTTAAATCACTGTCGCAGGGAGCATGGAGGGAGACTAAATTCTGAGAAGTTGAGCAGGTGAGACCGAGAGCACTGAGTACAAGAGGGAGGAGAGCTTTCTAAGCGGGAATATGGCAGAGATGGAAACCTGACGATGCTCAAAGCTTAGATGCACAAGGGCCAGAGTTAGTCTAAGGCAGCAGTTCTCAACTTGCGGGTCACGACATCCCAGATATCACACTATTCATGATTCCCAACAGTGGCAAGATTACAGTAACAAAGCCACAAATAATTTTATGGGTGGGGGCACCACAACGTGAGAGACAGTATTAAAAGGGTCGCAGCATGAGGGAGCTTGAGAACCACTGGCCTGAGGGAACAGCTACGAATTCCACAGAAACACAGGTGGGAATGGATGGTGGTTGGCTGTTGGAAGCAATGATGCAAACTTTTGAATGCACTCTTCTATCAATTTGAAGATTTTTTTTGTTTTTGTTTTTTCGAGATAGGGTTTCTCTGTGGCGTTGGAGCCTGTCCTGGAACTAACTCTGTAGACCAGGCTGGTCTCGAACTCACAGAGATCCGCCTGCCTCTGCCTCCCGAGTGCTTTCAGGCAATACAAAGGAATGCCATCAGCTTCAAGTTAGGATAAGGGAGACCTGGAAATCTTAGCGGACAGGACAGAACATGATTAGAAGATGATGTCAATGGACTTAGCAATGGAGCAGGATTCTTGGATTCAGTGGGAGTTCACTGAAATTTTTGGAATGAATTTAAATTCAAATCTAGCCTGATTGTGGATTTTCTCTACAACACGTTCAGCTGCATAGGTTCAAGAGTACAGCTGGCGTAAGGTCCGGGGGGGGGGGGGGGGGGGGGGGGGGGGGGGGGGGGGGGGGGGGGGGGGGGGGGGGGGGGGGGGGGGGGGGGGGGGGAGGTGGAGTAAGGGTGGGGTAAGGTGGCAGGGGGAATTCCTGTAAGGGAAGAGTGTCGTCGATTTAAAAGATGAATGAGGCCGTAGCATCAATGGAACTGCAGGTGACAATGCGTCAGAAAAATTTGGGACTTACAGTTCCTGAGTAAGCATTTGGCATCAGGGAACATCCCGCATGTTTACTAAGACATCAACAAGCACCTGTGTCTTCTGGTGTCTCCAGACTAACTGGAATTGCTCAGGTGTGGGGAAAACTTGTTCGTATCTAACAAATAAAGCCGGTCTGAAGATCAAAGGGCAGTTAACCATAGAGGTCTGGAGGGCTGTACAGACAGACAGGAAGTGATATGGCTGGGCAGAGAGAGGGATATAAGGCGGGAGTAGACAGGCGCTCACTCCTTTTTTTTTGACTGAGGAGTTAGTAAGGTAAGAGTTGGCTGAGACAGGAGATCACCCCTGTTTTGGCTGAGGAGTTAGCAAGGTAAGAGTTGGCTGTGGCTTGCCCCCCTTTGCCTCTCTGATCTTTCAGCATTTCCCCGATATCTGACTCCAGGTTTTTCTCATTAAGAACAATTAGAACTCATGCAATACTCAGGTACTCAGGTGTTCTCGTAAGAAATTAGCTGTCACTTTAAGAATGGTCTTGCTTGGAGAATTTTGTATACATATCAGCAAGATAGAATGCTACACACATGTGCAATTAAATGCTTAACATCTCAAAAGTTTGTTTTTTTTTTTCCTCTGCCATTTCCAGATGACTTACGAGGCTCTCTCTTTTACTCTTCTTTCCTTTTTGGCTACATTCATGCATGCTAAAAATATTATTTATGCAGCCTTTGATATAGCATATTAAACGAAAGATATTTTGGGAATGTTTGTTGTATGACATCTGTAAACTACTTAATGCTTTTCACATTAGGTATATTACAATCATTTGGAAATTTAACGGTCACCTGTAAAATTCTGCTGCTTTTTTTTGATTGTCGCAATATACGTCATAGATGCTTCATGGGGTGAGACATTTTCTCTACTAGCCCATCACCAAATCCTTGCCACTGTCCTTAAGGATTGTTCCTGTGCAGAGCAGTGAGATGAATTGATGTTTACTTAAAACAGGATGAAATGAAACATCAATTTTGTATAGCCACTAGGTGGTGCTATTATCCTATTATTTAGCCATTTGTTTACCACCTTAGAACATTTGAATTAAATACAATCATTTATTATTGTACATGGGTTTATTGATATAATTTATGGTGAATAATTATGTGAAAGTGTCAGCATTCCTAATGGCTCTGCCAATCTGCCCGTGGACTCTTTTATATAATAATGAGTGAGTTTTGAAAATGGTGATCTTTGAAATTTTTGAGTTTATTAGAAAGCAACAATTTC